TTTTTTTTTTTTTTTTTCACCAGGGCAGAAAAATTATGTGTGGTTAAGACAAAAAGAAAAGCACGTCAAGCTGGGACTCTTACCCAGGATTACATTATCACCCGTAAGTATACGAGTACAGTGTGTTTTATGTGTGTACTTATTTAGAGTTTTAATCTTTTTAAAAAAAGGCCAGTGATTGGTTGTGACATGCAACAATCATGATGACACTTGCTTTTGTTTTTCTCACTGGAAGCTGATGAATTCTGTTTTCTGATTGGTTGTCACAATACACAATAATTGAGTATAACAGGTATAAGAGGGTATAGAGTATGGACCCAGGCTGGAGTTTTGCACTTGTTCCTTAGGGTCACTTTATTGTCAGATATCCTATGTGCGCATTCTATGTTTTGAGTACAAAAGGGTCAGTCCTCCCAAAAATTATATTTTAGTCAGCCATGTTTCTTACAAGTCCTGGCTCCTCCATCAGCGAGACTTTTCTGTCACAATTCCCCAAGTGGTTCCTTTCCACCTGAGAGTTTTGGGCGTTCTTGCCCACCTTTGTGTTTTATGGCTCTTCCTGGTTCATTCTCCATAGTATAACATTTAATAAAAACCCAACAGAGACAATGGAAGCTCCTCAAAATGGCAACAGCAGGTGTGCAGACCCAGGCGTTATGACAATGATGGGTAGTTTTACTGACCAATGTTCACTAAAAACAGATATATCAGTTTAGGTGGTGTGGTGCTTTAACAACCGTGGCAAATTTGCACATGGCAACCCCAAAAAAAAACATAAACTTAATTTAGAGCAAGTACGGATGGGTATATACATCCTCACTGTGGGTCGTATTCAGGAAAGCTTAGTATGTAAAGAACAAGGACAGTAATGAGTGTCAGTGGCAGTTTCTAAATGGAGCATGCTAATCTCATGGACTAGATGTCTCTTTGCCTGTGAAATCTAGTGACAGTGCTGATGAGGACAACATCCTAAGTGAACACTGGATGTATTATAGGGCATAATGATGGCCATATTCATATGGTAATGTAGGAGATGTACATTTATAATGTATGAGGATGTATGACCATGTATAAATCTTTAGAATTGAGTATGCACTGGCAGCCAGTAAGGCTAGGACAGTTTTGTAACAGTGTAGTCATATTGTATTCCAACATACAAACTTATTTATGGTATATGATTGAACCAAGTTTTTGCATACATTGTGCTACTCAGCTTGTCTCTGCAATGTTTAGAAGGTTGGTTATAGATGTTACCATGTCAATTTCTTGGTACCGATGTATAGATCTCATTTGGGGTGGCTGTCCCTCTTTTGGAACCAAATTCCTATCACCCCCCTGTCCTCTTCAGTTCTACTTCTGATTTAAAACCCTCTATAAAAATGTAAAATGTAACTACTAAAAGTGTTGTACTACACCAAACCTTCACACACCCATTATAAAGGAACAATTGTAGTAAAAAAACAATAATTTTTTACATATTCTTTATGGTTCATAAAATTGTGGGGGGGGGATTGGGGGTGTACTTTGCCTACATACTCTGTACTAACACAGTCTTTCTTTCTCGTCTCAGAAGGTTGGGTGTTAAAAGAATATTCCACCTTTTGAAGCATGTTTAATGTTCCTCCCATATTTGGGGTGTAACATGAAGCATGGTCAGATTCCTCTACTGCCCTCTCCCCCACACTTACCTAAATAACGGGGATCCTGTATTAATTTGAACACAGCAAAGCTGTATGCATTGTTTATGCACAAATTAATTCACAGGGTCTGTGAATAAAAAGACTACAGGTTCCACCTGCCATCGCAGCAGAGGGACTCGTAGATCTCAATAGAGTACAATGTAGTGACGTAATTGTACTTGCAGTCCATGTAGCCGTGGGGCTGGGGAAATAGTCTGCAGGAGCCTGTGCACTGCGCCCACGATCCTAGTGCCAATTTTGGAGGGGCTGCATACCTTGCCAGTTAATACAATTGCCATGCAGGGAGCTGTAATTTCTCTGTAGCTATAAGACCGCTGGTCAGAAATATTTTATATGAAACCTTTTCCAGCCACATTGTAGGCCCACACAGCTATCTGCGCAAGAGTTTCTGGTTACTTGGCCTTATTTTTCTGTATTAAACCTGAATTACATTTTATCAGTGAGAATTGAATGTAAAGCCAGGTTTGTATGCACAGGAAAGATTAACTAATACTAAAGGCAGATGTTAGATAGAGACAGACTATAAATATTTAGTATATTAATGGCAGACATAGGCCAATTCAGTCTGCCCATTATTAATGTTTTAACCACAATTTCCAACCACTTAATACCCAGAAATATGTTGTTAGAGGCTCCATTCCCAAAACCTGATTCTAAGGTGTTATTTCGGGCACAGTCTAGTTCCTGGCTGATCGAGATCATTTAGTTTTTAATGTGATTTAATGATTTTGATTATAAGGGAAGCTCCATATGAGGCTTAGCCTATACAAACCTAGTGTAGAAGCACACCAATTGTTCCATTCGGCATCTGCTAAAGGTTACAACTCTCGATCATATCACCTTTCCTAAGAATTTAAACTGATATTTCAATCTCTAATTCTGTATTTAATAACAAACTTGCATGTATTAAAGTGACACTAAACTCAGTTCAATCTGCCGCCTGTTTGTCACCAGCACCTGGCCGGCCCGCGTCCTCAGAAGGCCCATCCGATGGCCCTCCACATTGCCTGATTACAGGGCTGCGTCTGCCAGATCCAGCCAGCCCGGATCGCATACCGAGGCGATCCGGGCTGGCTGTAACAGGTAGACGCGGCATGTCAGAGGGCCCCCTGCTGGGGCCTCCCGAGCACCTCCGTGACGAGCAGCGGCCGCACCGATCACTGAGCCGGGTGCAGGTGGCAGCGGGGGTCAAGGGGCCGTTCGTGGTGGCATCAGAGAGTCCGCCCCTGAACTCCCCCCACAAAGATTGAAGTCAGTGGTTAAACATGTTAGCCAGACGACTAGGATTTTCAGACGTAGATCAGCACTGGCAGTCTACATTCTTCTTTTAACAGAGGTTTCCCGGAACTTCTTGCAGCCCGCTCTTTTAAATGTCAGTGAAATCTCCCAGCTGCGCGCCCTGATCTGAAACCTGTGTTTTGTCCTTCATTTTACTGCAGTAAACTGAGCTGTGTCTGCCCCCTTTCTATATTAAATGTTTTCTTTCCCAATATCTAAGTAGAACCATGTGGCCTGTGATCTTCTAAGTCGAAAAGTGCATTACCCTAAATACAATCCAGAAGTGCGCAGACCTGCTTGGGAAATTATAGAAACTTGAAGTAGTTCTAGCTGGCAGCACAAACCCATTAAACTCAAATTGAATAATCTTTAAATACGCAGAACTTCCTGATGAACCGCATTCTAATCAGCAAAGCTGCATTAAAAATATACAGGTTTAGCCAGCTGCTCCAGCAAGCATTGCTATGCTCCGACTCCTGCATTTCTCTACCAGTGGGGTTCCCACTTAGCTCGGTTTCTCTGGTCACAACAATGTTGAAAGCCTGCAACCCGAGTCACACCGCTCTTCACCGTTGTTTTTCCTCTGAAATTGAATATGGCAGGTAGACAGCGGTAAACCACATTTTGGCAGGATGTGACAGATGGATATTGGCAGTGGTTGTGAAAATCGTAACACATGTTGACTTTCAGATCAGTGTAAAACACATAGAGGAGACCACCAAGACCTTTCTAGGAAAGCGCAGGAATTGGGTTGTAATTGTCATGCAGCTTGTTTTCAGATACAGCTCCATCAGTAACGCAAATTTAATATTACACACGCAGCATTGATAACACTTTGCTTTTTGGTGTTTGGATTCCTTGTTTGCAACATACATACACTCCAAGTCACAAACCTCTGATCTCACATAGACCAATGGCTTCATGCATGGGTTTGAGTGTGGTGGTTGCAGTGAGCAACACCCTTTTTAAGACACTTTGATAATTAAAGTACAACTTAAGCAGGGGTAAGTAAAAGCTGGCCCTCCAGCTGTGATTAAACTACAAATTCCATTATGCATCTGCCTTTGGGAGTCATGCCTATAGCTGTCAGAGTCTTACAATGCCTAATGGAATTTTTATTTGCACCACAGATGGAGGGCCAGAGTTTGCTTTCCCCTGGTCTAAAAGCTAACATTTGACAGTCTAAACATGTCCCATATCTAGTTAATATGTGATGTACAAGCCTCATAAAGTAAAATAAAATAATTACTTCCCTTGACTGATCCTTCTTACGTTGTGTCTCACATGCCCCCCCAGACACTGCAGCTCACAGTGTGAGGGTTTCAACAGCAGAGGCGGGGCTAGGTGTCGCCAGCTGATTGACAAGATACAGGTTTGTGAATCAGCAGTGACAATGCTGATAGCCACATCCTTTGCAATAGAAAATGAAGATCACCAGCACTCAGAGGATAAACGTTTAAATAACAATGTCCCTTTATTCAGATAAAACGTCACATCACAATAGCCAACGTTTCGGCGCCACACAGGGTCCCTTCGTCAGGGCATTAAACTGACTGTCACATGACGTTTATCCTTTGAGTGCTGGTGATCTTCATTTTGTACTGTTTGATGCGCACTGCGCCGTCCGTGGTTATCACTACGAGCACCACCATTGTGATTTGTGCCTGTGATGCTGCAAGGAGTGCAGGGGGACTTTCTAGTATACTACATCCTTTACAATGTCTTCTCCTCTCACTGTAGTGCAAGCAGCCACAGCCTACTTGATGGTGACAATGCTGCTCTGAATTCAGGAGCAGAGCAGCAGCCTTGTCACCTCATCAAGTGAATGGTAATTTCCCTAATGACGGCAAGAAACCTGAGGGGTTTTACCATTCCCTTTTAACTTTAAAAGTTAACAAAAAATCTTTGGTTTTAGAAAAATATTAACTAGATGAAGTTTTGTTTCTTTTTAACTGTACTGTGTTACCATGGAACAATCATAATCCTAAAAAGAATCCTATTGACCATATATGCAAGCGTCCATGCTAGAACTAAAATATTAGAGAATGTTCCACATTTAAGTGGGATATGCTTTAAATTTCCCGCACCAGTCTTCTCTTACTAATGGTGAAGTCCATATTTGGACCACTGATTTTCGGTGACAAAGGTCTGCATGGGGACTTGGATTACATCCCTGATTTCCATATTGCAGGACACTACTGCTATACCGCTCAGGCCACAGGTAGACTCATTTAGCTGTATGCATTCATTTCTTTCTAGAATAGGTTTATGAAAAGCAGCTTGCATTATGCTTCTGGTGGTTATTCATCATGATAGATATTCAGAGCTGGGTGGAATTACCGCCTAAACCTCGAGACTCCAAGCTGGCTGGGCTCTCATGTTCCTCCTTGCTTCAGTGACGCTCTGATGTTGTGCAGTTTTTGGCCTGCTTAGTAGAATTATGTTGGGGAAATCCTGCCTAAGTAACAATGTTTCCACAGCCAAGAGCTCTCCATGTAGATCAATTGTTTGTGCAGGAAATCCAGATTAATTTGGCCGAATGATCTTGTTACAGTAGGTACATGTAAGATATGCTTCACTTCTGATGCACCGTGTTCTGAATGAAAGGTCTGGGAATATATTTTCTGCTACATCTGCAACCTTCTGTATACAAAATGTGGAGAGATTGTTTCCAGCTCAGCTAATGTGTTCTCTTCTGTCCTCCAACAGCACACGCTCTTCCAATGTTCAGAGAACCGCGACAGAGGAGTACAAGGAAACAGCTGGAGAAGGATAGGCTGGATCCGGTGAAATCTCATAAACCAGAGCCTCCGGTAGCTGGACCAGGTAAATCAGTTTAATTGCTGCTTAAAAGTAAAGACTGTCATCCAAATTGGATTGTCTTTGTAACGTACAGCAGAGCCTTCTTAAAGCCCAACTCTGTGCAAAAACATTCCCCTTCACCATCACCACCTAGCACGATCAAAAAGAAAAAAAAACTGAAATACTTACCTGAATCCCCTGTCACTTGACCCTCTACGGCACCTCTGGTGATGAAGACTGATGAAAACTAGCTGCTCTCTACTGCTCCGCCAACCAGTCTTGTTGCTGCCCCCTTCATTGTGATATTATGACAGCAGCTGTTTAAGACTAATGGGCCCTGTGAGAACCCCTGTGGCCCACTCATTAGCCCGTGGGCATTGTCCACATCACCAGGAAGTGATGAGGGCACTACAAGAAGGACCCTCCCACACTGCCGATGAAGAGGAGAAAGAAATGAACCTGGCCTATGTCATGAATGCAGTTTCAGGTAAGTAATGGGGCTTTTAGTATTTTTTCAGAAATATTAGACAATAGTTAAAGGGTCTTGGAATGGGAAGGGATTTTTTTTTCTGTTATTTTTTTTTGTCATCACTCCCTTCACAAATTGAAATAATAAAGAGTCCTACTTTGACATTAGTGGGCAGAGCAAGAAAATTATTCCTTTTTGTTCCTGAGGTCATTTGTGCATCCAGAACTGCTGGTGTATAGTACAAATACAGCCTAATATTATAGAGCCATTCATTCCAAACTTTCCTCTAAGAGGAGGGCAACCAAACTCATTAAGGTGTTTGAGGACCTGAGCTATGAAACAAGGTTGTTAAATTAAATATGTTCTCTTTGGAGGTTAGGAGATTAAGGGGGGGCATGATTTTCCTGTATAAACTATTCAAGGGCGACAGCAACATTATTAACAAACTGTTTACGGTTAGCTCCGTAACAAAGACCAGAGGGCACAACCAAAAATTGGTGGGAAAAAAATGTCAACACACAGGGCGCAAGGGGTTCTTCACAGTTAGAGCGGTTAAGGTGTGGAACTCGCTGCCGCAGGAAGTGATTTCAGCTAAGAGTGTGGAATCATTCAAGAAACTCCTGGACGAGTTCCTCGGAGACCATAATATACAGGGGTACAGGTAAGCCTAAGAGCAAAATCACACATGTACTAATACACACTCGCACACCTGCTCAAACATAAATGCAGACACACAATAGGTTGGACTTGATGGACTTATGTCTTTATTCAACCTCAAATACTATGTAACATTCAGCTGTTTTGGGCTTGTTGGCCATCATTAGTGCAGTGTACGGAGTCCAGGGCTTGGGGATCAACAATACGATGTATGGTTATAGTGAGGAGTCTAATAACCCTCCTTTAAACCATTGTGATGGACAGTAGACCTTTTATTAAATAGAAGATGTCTATGTGTCCCATTTTCATCCAAAAAATCTGAATTTAGTCTACATTTAAGGATAGCGGGCAGAGCAATCCAAATAATTAATTTTATGCCCCTGGGCTACCTGCATCCAGAACCGATACAGCCAATATTATCAAACCACTTACACAAAACTGTGTGAGCTGTTTCCTGGTTGTTGGCCATCATCAGCGCAATGCATGGAAACAGCAGCTCCCATGGAGTAGGGCTTGGGGACCAATCCAGAAATTAAACTGGACATGTTATGGTGAGTTTGGCTCTCTTTCCTCTAAAAGAAACATGTAGGCTTCCATTGCTAACACTCCTCCTGTAAATGCTGGTCACCTTGTCTATTATGTTGGTCAGCTGTTACTTGCATCGGCATTTTCTAAGTCACTGTTCTGCAACAAGTATCAGGTAATTAACTATTAAGTCAGAACTCCTTATCTGCATCTTTGTTTCAGGCCAAAATATGTGTTTCAGGCCACATGAAGGCTCTGTATGACAGCCAGGCAATTAGGATTTACAAAGTAAAGGTAGCAGTGACAGTCTCCATGTTTCTCTAAGGAAAGTTTTCCTTTAACAGAACCAAGAAGCCATTCACTAAATTACTCTTTTTTTTTTTCTTCCATTTTTATGTTTCTCTATATCATTATTGATGTATATAGGGGGGCTATAATCCGCTTTGTTGTTCTAAAAGTACATATTACAAGTAAAGATAATTAATATATCTACTAGGGATGCACCGATACCACTTTTTTAAGGCCGAGTACGAGTACCGATACTTTATTCCAAGTACTCGCCGAATTGAAAGGCTAACATAAGAAATATCAGCAACACGTAGATTTCTCTCAATACAGATTTTCCTTTAGAGGGACATTATTAAACCCTTAAAGGAGAACTATTGGGTTAATGCTTTTCCCCATAGTTCTCCTTAGGGTAACGGGAGGACACAAACTAGCGTCCTCCCGTCACCCTAAGCTCAGTATACCGCGAGCTATAGACGCCACAGCTGAAGAGGATCCCGACAATTATGTCTGGATCCGCCCAGCTGCATGAGTGACAGCTGGCTCTGCCTATCTAGAGGCAGAGTCAGCTGTCCCCGCCCCCTCCCCCGTCCGATCCACCAGTCAGCGCTGGCGCTTCGGAGCGGGGAGGGGGGAATCCAGCCCCTCCCCTGTCACGGCAGAGAGCTGTGACAGGATTGAGAGGTGAGCGAACGCCGGTATGTGTTCGCTCACTTCTCGATCTACTGAGCCGACCTGTGACAGTCTCATTGTCACAGGTCGGCTAGAACTATGAGGTGAGTGAAAAGCACTCACCTCAAAGTTCTCCTTTAAGGACAAAGGCCTTTTTAAAAAAATTTGTTTACATGTTATATTCCACATTTTAAGCCTGAAAATTACTTACAACCCCCAAACATTATATATTTTCTGAAAGCCAAGACCCGATAGAATAAAATGGTGGCAGTTGCAAATTTTTATGTTGCACGACATTAGTGCAACGTATTATCAAACCCCAACATTTTGTGAAAAATGCACTTAAGTTAAATTGTGTGCTTCAAAACACAATACAAAATCATTTTTTTTGTCTGTATTGTATTATTTTTTTACCAGATCGTAGAAGCAATCTGGAGGCAGCTGAGCCGCCATAACTGCTTCTACTGTAAAGCCGGACGCCGGCTCTACAAATCTGAACAGAGTCCGCCGGGAGTCTGTTTAACCCGTTGAATATTCATGATGGGATTATTCCGTCATGGGTAATGAAGGGGTTAAGGGACGTTGCCAGCTGAGAGAAAGAAAGAATTTAGGAGCTTGTTAGAAGTCGCAGGGCAGAGGGAAAGGGAGAGAGTGGAAGGAGTCACTGCTGTAACTGATTCACTTATTTTTCAACTTGAGCTACTGAGGTGTGTAGACAGGCCTTTTTTCTAACAGGAAATACAGAAAAATAATTTAATGTATTTCAAATAAGATTTAATTAAATGGTATTTATCTAGTCTTGACATTAATAAAGGAAATATATACAAAACTACAATATATTGAATTTAATAATAATAAAATAGCAATGCAGGTAGAGAGCTAAGAGAGGATTTATTGAGTACATCCCATCAACCTGCTGCATGAATTGTTGCTGCTAGGAATAGCTAATCCTGAGCTGTATCTTCTGCTGGTCAGTGATCATCAGATCCATGTGCCAACCTTTTTGCTGTTTATTCATTCACAGAACTTATTACTTAGAAATAAAGATTTTTCTTCTTCATCCAGACTTTCAAAAAAAGCATTACATTTGGGGGCTTATCATGTAGGAGCATTTCACTGTGACTGGCTGGAGATTAAAGTCCACTCCATAGGCTTTCTGAAAACCCCATCAGATCTGGCAATGGAAACATTACATAAAGATAGAATTTAAACGACTTTAATGATTCCTCAGCACTGGACTCAGTGATTTTACTTTGTTGTTTGCTGAGTTTCCTTATAACTTCACTTATAGTACATATTGAGTGTAACCCTTAACTAGCTAGAGGAAGTTATAGATGACAATGATGCCTTGTCTCTAGAAGGTTGCCTGAGGCAGAAGAGCATTGGTCAGGGTCACAGAGAAGCGGATGTGGTAGTGCATGGTACAGAAAGTGCTCTTGTTCTGTCTATCCACTTTGCTATCATAAACGTGGATTTACATACTGCACACTTTGCCAGACCCAACTTAACAGCCCCTGCTAATCATGCAGCTTGGCCAGTGCATGGCTGCAAGTGACCTTACATAAAAAGCCAAAGAATTTATTGTAATCACTGTACGTTTACAGAGATGTAATTATTTAAAGTATATGTAGGCCCAATTACTAAAATCACATTTAACATGTAATTTCACAAGTTGTATTATTCATTTGAAATATGCAGCTTTCATTAAAATAATCCGTGGTAATCCTGCCATTAACGTCCTTGTTTAGGTACTAACTGTTACATGGTGGTCTCCCAGTTGTGCGCCTGCGTTTTCACCCTGTAACATGCACCCGCGGTGGAGACTTCAAGCACCTGTGCTGACACACATTGTGCAAACATAGTCCATCGTTCTCACTATCAGGAAGTCAGTCCTGTGCAGTGATGTGCAGCTGATGTTGGAGCGAGTGCATGTAAACAGAATGTATCTGAAAGAGTTTGGAGGAGATCAGCAGCAATGGGATAAAACAAAGATGGAAAAAAAAGTTGAAAACCATATTTTAGAAAGAAATTGGCAGTTGTTCTCTATACCCAGTGCTTTAGCAAATTAATTATGATCCAGTTAGGGTTTATGTCTGCAGAAACGTTAACCCCCCTCCCGCCCATTGACCGTACCTAAACGGGCGGACGGGAGCCTTGTAGATGCGGGTGGGCGTTTTAAAACGTCCCTCCCCACCCCCACTGGGAAAACTACATTAAATGTAAACAGCTGTTTAAATACAAGAGATCCGACGTCTAGAGATTGCTTGTATTTTGTGTAGGTGTGCCGCTGCCACCGCTGTATGCGACAGGACCTGTCGCATACATTGGCTATCACATAGGGGGATTCTTATCCCCCTATGTGATAGCCAAAGTTAAGTGTAAAAAAAAAAAGTTTATACTTTTAGATTGGAAGCCC